CACGATGGATTACTTTGTTCTACCCACACACTTTTTCAAACTATTTGTTCTATTTCCTTATGTTTTCTAGCTAAAACAGAACAATATAATAATTGGTGGTCCCCATTCATTCTCTTCTCTGTTATTTTTATCTTCTTCATCTATTTTTTTGTAAAGTTCAACTGAAATTTTCCAGCTTACGGTGGATGATTCACTGATTCACCATAACATACGCCGGGACTGCTTCACTAGAATCTTCAGCCACTGTGAGCTCTATCCACCGTAGCGGTCTTCCTTCTCCATGGGTCTTCTCTTCTATGGTGTCTGAAGTTTCAACGCCAACCCAGTTCCTTTTTGACGGAGTCGATGGCGACTCACGACTCTATATTCAGATCTAGAAGCTCGAGACACCAGTACACCATCGATCTCCTCCGTTGATTCTCAACCGCCGTGTCTTTTTGCCGCTTAGGCCATAAAAGTCGAGATCTTACAAGGTCAGGGCTGATGATGGTGAATCAAGAGCATCGGATCGAGCGGGTCGATCATCACCATCGATCGCCTCAACTCCATCAGTGCAGAAGAATTAACCATGGCCAATTTCTGGGTTTTTTCACTTTGGTCCCTGTGCTTTTGACAAACTTCTTTTGGGTTCATAACTTTTGTTTTGTTCAGAAAGGTCTTTGATATCGCCCCAGAACTATTGATTGTGCATTACAGCCCATGTGTATACAAAATATGTATATACAATTTCTAATGATGTCTAAATGCAAATTCTAGACACTATAATGATCAAATCTAATAGATAAAGCCCTAAAAACATTGCACATCACTTGTACAATATACAAATGTAACAGTGTTCATATGAATTTTTGTGAAACAGTTGTACACGTGTACAATGAAATATATGTGCTCTGCGTGATGATTTGTACATGCAAATGTAACAAATTTATTTTGTTATGAGAACATGTTATAATACTACTTCATTCCAATAGAAACTTATGTTACATCATTGGACTCTTTATCTTTTTTGTACAAGTGATATTCTGGAATATGTGTATATGTAACGATCCTTTATGCTTCTTGTACAAGCAATATTGTGGAATATGCGTATATGTGAATATTTCTAGAAAATGTGCATATCTTAATTTATCATATAAAGATAGATGTGTATGTCTATTTTCAAAGTTTATTTTTTTTAAATGTACTTTTATGGGAAATGAGATATCCTAACTTGTCACCAAATGACATATACATGTCAAACCTTCATCTAGTATTGTGTACACATCTCATATGTACACATTCCTAGTTGTACATATACATGATTGTACACATGTACACCTTAACAAAGCTTTCCAAAACACCAAAATCCTCAATTTGAATGTATTAATGTACCAATGAAAAAAATGAAAAAAAAAAATATTAGTGTACACATGTGATATTTGGTCCACCAGAACTCTTCTCGACTCTCACGTGTTAGTGTACACATTTATATTTACGTAAGAAACTTGGGTTTATCCATGATAACAATATGTCGAACGATCAGGTGCTTGTATACGATGAGATTAATGTACATATGGACATCAAAATGGTGTACACTGATATGTTATGATTTTAATGGTTTTTAGGATCTCATCTAGTTCATATTGATCATTTAGATTGCATATTAGGTGTATATATTTCATTTGGATGCATATTGCATATAACAGGGTCTAAAGTGTACTTTCAGAAACTCAGAGGTTGGTTCGCGAGGGTGTATCTGTAATTTAAAAAATGTGGGAGCCAAATTGTAAAAGAGCAGAAGTTCAGAGACTGGATATGCAAATATGAGGAAATCCACCATTGAAGCTAACGAGCTTTCTCTTTGCGGATCCGGAGCTCGTGACGGCAAGCTTGATTCTGACGAAAGCCTGGCCACACGGTGGAGCTGAGCATGACGATGACGGCGGATCTGAGCATGGTCGACGGAGGAAAGGTTTAGATGTGCTTCATTTTGGAGACGAAGACCTAGACGTAAAATCTTGGTACGGTGGTCGCGGCTTGGAATAGACAGAGAGACAAAGTGATACCACGGCGTTGGTAGCAGCAAGCAGAGCTCGAGATTGGCTGAGGTTCACCGGCGGTCAGAAACTTATATACTATTTTTGCAAAGGTGGTATGAAACTGAGTTAAAAATAAAAAGTGGTGAAGAAAATAAAATGATGAAGAAGATGAATAAAATAAATAGGTCATACTAATATGATTTAGTTATGTTTTGGTTAGAAATGAATTGAAAAAATTAAAGAAAGTGTTCAAGTAGTAACATGTGATTTATAGTATAACACAAACTCAAAATGTGACTTAGAATGTCAATCTCTCTATATATAATCATACAAAATAAAATTAAAAAAAGTTGTATAAGCTAAAATTGATAATTAATAACTCAATTTTTTTTTGACAGGACCCACAATGATGAGGTGGAACTTTCCTATTATAATATAGAGTTTTTGAGATAATTGGGTTAAAACTTAAAACCAAGTTCTCATTTTTAGGTTCAGGTTAGTTTGGAATTTGGATATCGATTTTGTTACAAACGCAGGGACGAGAAAATTGATATTTCTTATCCAGTCTTAAGTACCAAACCGACCATGAATTCAATGTTACAAGAACACAAGTCTTGGTGCTAAATAGAAAGTTCGATATTCATTTTTCAACAATCCAGGAGAGATTAGTCCAAAGTATATTACCGTTTACAAAAAGAATCATAAATGACTTTAGTCTTTAATTAAAAGCATATCTCAAGGTTGAGCCGGAGCCACAGGTGGAGGAGACTGTTGCTGCTGGGGCTCGAGGTGTTCAGATTCTTTTGGTTCAGGAGATTCAGAGCGTTTTGGTTCAAGTACGTCTTCTTCCTTAGATGATGTCGCCTTTGGTGATTCAGACAAGTGAACTCTAGCGAACTCATCAACCACTTTCCTCTTGTCTTCTTCCTCAGCCATACCAACTTTCTCTTTAGCCTTCTGTCCAACATCTTCAGCAGCTTTAGCCACTTTGTTGAAAGCTCCAGTGACCCACGTGGCACCCGTGAGAACATACCGGTTCTTCATTATAGCCGAGCCTGCATTGCTCACGGTCTGCTCAGCTGCAGCGATTGCTGATTTGGTCTTCTCAGAGACTTGGTACTTCTGATCGACTTCCCTGACTTTCTCACCCACCACGACAGTTCCGGTGTTGATCTTGTCAGTGAAACCGAGTTTCTTGTCGAGAGATGCGACTTTGGCTGATGCTGTGGATGTTAGCTGGTGTTTCTCATCGACGCTCTTGGCTTTGGCGATTGCGTCTTTTCCAAGAATGAATCCCTTTGCAAGCATGCTGCTGACAACATCTTCGGCTTTTCTCAACACGGAGTCACCTGCCCTCGGAGACTTGCTGCTATCCTTGGGCTCCTGGGGAGAAAGAGAGATGAGATGGTTAAGAGTTTGCTTGTGAGTTGTGAGTGAAGATGTGAAGAGAAAAGTGAGGTTATTATTACCAAGGAAGCTAAAGCCTCAGGGGATAGTTGGTAATCAGGAGCCATAGTGACAATGACTGAAGAATCAACAATCGTCGCTCCCTGAAGTAAAAATCTCATCAATACTCAGTCACTTAAAAGCATAAGAGGAAGTGACAGAGGGTGAGAAATACCGAGAGAAGAACAGCAGTTTCAGCTCCTTGTAGATCCTTGAAAGTGACATACGCCAGTTTTGACCGTTCTGTCTCGCTGTACAAACGAGGTGTAAAGACGCTGAAGAACAAAAAAGTAAAGATCTAGAGGAAACCAAACCTTTGGGTCTCAAGATAGAGAATATCGCCAGAGAAGGAGAAGAACTCCTTGAGATCACGATCGGTTGCTCCTAGAGAAACATTGCTCACTTTGACAGTTGTCATCATCTGCAAGTAAGATGCAATGTTACGACACTTAATACATCATACGGTTGACTTCACACTACTGAAACAACCTTATGAACATTGTATCATGAAAACAGGGATACAAAAGATGAGAGTCGCAATGGCATTACATTATCATAAAAGGAAAGCTAATCTGTATCTCAAAATTGATCCTTTTGGGTAAATGAATCGCATATTACAGTTACAGATTACAAAATCAAAACTTGCAACCAGAAGCTAACACCCATTTTCGTACAAATCTTACAGCATAGCAACAGATCTGTTCACATCTTCCTCAACATCAAAAAGAAACATGGATCTTGTCGGGACAGATCAAAAAACTAAAAAACCGAAACTAGTTGGTTTCGAAGGAACGGTTAGAAGAACTTACCGACATGGCGGAGATCGCTTGACGCAAATCGAAAACGTAGTTTTTTTTTGTGGTTCGCTTTCTTTTAACCTGATGAAGAAATGAAACGAAAAATCAAAAGGAAGAAAAATCTAAGGAAGCGGATTTGCTGTGAGGAAGAGACCCTTTTTAACACACCTCGGAAAACGGACGACGTGAGAGGTCTTCGGATTTCTCACGTGCTTTTGGTCTGGATTGCAGTTACTCACGTGCCAGGGGTATAAGCGTCTCCTTAAGCTGCGTTAAAAATATAAAATCAACAGTTTAGTAGTAATTGCTTCTCTTACAAAGAAAAAAAAACTTCTTCCACTTTTGACCCTTTTTATGCACGTAAAGGTCTATACTGAGATCTAATTAATTTAATGATGCAATCCTATATTTCTTATCACTATCATAATCTATTCTCATGGTTGGAAGAAATCTATATGTTCCGACCAATATAAACCGTCCACGTGTTGAGCTGAGAGTAGCGTGCACATCGTGAGAGAATCTCTTGTATTTGAGTAGCTCAATACTCTATTGGAGATCTTATGATAAGATTCTTAAATTCTTATCTTATAACACCCCTAATAACATTAATCTTCTCGAGGAGGATATACCTGTAAGATTCTAAACTCTCGAGTCACTTTATAGAATATTATGAAAAAGTGAGGGCCGAAAACATACAAGTAACGTGACAGTTCACGTTTCTCATCTCTCTCTCTCTCTCTCTCTCTCTCTCTCCGCGATTCACGTTTCCTCAAATCTAATTGTCGGAGAGAGAGAATTACGCCGCAGAATCTAAAATCACCGTCACGTTCTCTCCTCCCTCGATCTCCGTTACCGTCAAGATCGAACTTTTCGTGGTGGGTTTATCGAGAAAGAAAGGGGAAAAAATGAGTTTTCAGGATTTAGAGGCAGGAAAAGGAAGATCATTAGCATCTTCAAGTAACATCAATGGTGGAGACACGACGCAAGCCGTAGCTTCCGGTGTGTTTCAGATCAACACAGCCGTCTCTAGCTTCCACCGCCTCGTCAACACTCTCGGTACTCCTAAAGACACGCCGGAGCTCCGAGACAAGCTGTAAGTAATCTCCTTTTCTTGTGAGTTGTAACTGTTTCTTAATTTTAATTGTTTGTTTAGGCACAAGACAAGACTACATATCGGAGAGTTAGTTAAAGACACATCAGCTAAACTTAAAGAAGCTAGTGAAACTGATCATCAAAGAGGTGTAAACGTGAGTGTCTTTTTATGATTCTTTGTTCGTCTTCTGTTGGGTTTTGAGTTCGAATTGTTTGTTTTTGTTTTTGTATCGTGTGTGTTTTAGCAGAGGAAGAAGATTGTGGATGCTAAGCTTGCAAAGGACTTTCAGTCTGTATTGAAAGAGTTTCAGAAGGCTCAGCGTCTCGCTGCTGAAAGAGAAACTGTCTATGCTCCTCTTGTCACCATAACATCTCCTCCATCTAGGTAAATGCACATAATCCAAAACGGCTTATGTTTTGTTTTGTGGTTTTGTGTATTGAGTTCTTGGTTGCGTATAGCTATACAGCCAGTGAGATAGATGTTAGTGGAGATAAGCATTCAGAGCAGCGTGCTCTTCTTGTGGAATCAAAAAGGTAAGTTGTACAGACAAACGTGAAGACTTTTTGTCCGGATTCTTTTTACTGAGATGACTTGGTTTGTTGCAGACAAGAACTTGTATTGTTGGACAATGAGATTGTATTCAATGAGGCTATAATTGAGGAAAGAGAGCAAGGGATACAAGAAATCCAGCAGCAAATTGGCGAGGTGCACGAGATCTTCAAAGACTTAGCTGTGCTGGTACATGATCAAGGCACCATGATCGGTAAAACTTATATTCTATAACCATGTTTATAATAAAACTCTCACGTATGTCCTCATATCCTGAATGAAACACATGTTTGCTTTACGCAGATGATATTGGTACTCACATAGATAACTCCCAAGCTGCAACAGCACAAGGAAGATCCCATCTTGCAAAAGCCTCAAAGACGCAAAGATCTAGTTCAACTCTGGTAAAAACGATATTCATCCTTTTGATCATTACCGTGAAATTTTTTTGAGATTTAGGATGATGATCAGAGCAGCCTATAAAATGACTCTTGTTGTTGTTTTTTATATATTGCAGATGTGCTTGCTCATGGTGATTTTTGGTATCGTACTCTTGATTGTTATCATAGTGCTCGCGGTTTGATTTCCAAGAACTCATGTAAACATGGAAAAGTGCTTTCATCGTCAATCTTTCACTTCACAACCCTGCTACCATTTAGTCTGTTTGACTACTGGTCTTTGTTTTCTTGTTTTGGAGTATATAAATTAGTTCGGTTTGGTTTGAGAGTGTCTAAGTGTTGAGTTTGTGAGAGAGTGCTATTACTTTGTCTCTCTAATATATTGTGTTACAGACCAAAGTGGATGGTGCAGGGAAAATCCTTTATCTGTGTTTTCTTAAAAGTGAAATACCTGGTTTCGATTAACTGAGCTAACTGAATCTTCAAGAGAGTACAGGTCAATGAATTTTACTCATATGCTGAACAAAGCAATATCATCTAGAGAATATGAACAAATATCATCTAGAGAAAAGCAGGCCTTGATTGAGATAACAAGCAGCTGTAGGATCCTTAAGGCATCCACAGAAAGCCTCTTCATCTTTTGGAAATGACTTTGGCAACGGATGATCAGGAGTAACACCCACCTATTCCGAGACCAGCAACAAGTAGATCAATAACACAATGGATGAAGAACATAAATGTAGAGTAGTGTAGACACAAAGGGTGTGTCATTACAGTAACATCAGTAAATGTGGCAAGAAAGTAGTTTCAGACCTTGTCAATATCTGTGTGAGCTGGTGTTTCGTATCGGGCAACTGTTACCGCCAAGCCCGAACCATCAGATAACTGAAACACTGACTGTATCTTACTGCAAAATGTGTAAAGAGGAGTCTTAAGAATGTTACAGAGGCTCAGTCTTTGAGGAGGAGCAGAATCAAAGATCACGCATTTTTGTTTACCCTTTTCCGTAAGTTGGTTCTCCATAAACCAGAGCACGTTTATTATCTTTCAAGGCGCCAGCCAATATCTCACTGGCACTTGCGGTGCCTTTGTTAACCTGAAAAAAGGAAGAAGATTGTGTGAGTGGTAAACGGCAAGAGACTCAGAGGTTGTGAATGGAGTTTAGGAAGGAACTTATACCAGAACGGCAAGAGGCTCAGAGGTTGATATAGCATTGCTTCCATCAGTATCATATATATCTCTAACACCTCGGCTATCGCAAATATACACAATTACTCCTTTATCTAACCTGTGTAAGAAAAAGTTGAAGTTTCTATTATGAGGGAGCTGTGAGTCTTGGAAATTTTATGACTCTTTAGATAAGGGTTTACCAAAACTTAGCAATCTCAATTCCTTCTGGGAAAGAACCGCCACTGCAGCAAAAGAAAATTCAAGTGTTCAAGAAAAAGCTGTTGCATAAATAAAAAGAAAAGCATTTCTTTTGTTATATAATCAGATCACCTATTGTCACGAAGATCCAAGACGAATGCATTTACATTGTTGCCTCTCAAGGTCTCAATTGCTTCTTTGACCGCACCTACAACATTAAGTGTTACGAGTTTGAGAGGTTGTAAACCAGAATGTTGTAAGATAACATCAAAAGAATGCATACCAGAAGCATTTTGATTGAATGTTGTTAGCTTGATATAACCAATCTTTGGAGAATTACTCCCAGAGCCAGGGAGTTCACATAATCTTGACTTCACTGGATTCACAGAAACTCGCTCCCTCCTAAATTGAACAATAATAGGAGATGAACAAAGATAAAGTAAGCAATGCAGGTGATGGGAAGAGAATCATACGTCAAAGATAAGACTCTCGTTTCGGGTCCGCTTCGGATCGCTAGCTCCACTGTGCTTCCTTCAGGTCCCCTGCATTTTAACCAAAGCATCATCACAATCCATCTCTCAAAGCTATATGAAGGATGGAAGTGGAAATGTGGCTCACTGCAACATCTGTGCAGCATCATATATGGTGAGAGTCTCTGTGGTCGTATCATCAATTCCTAAGATAACATCTCCAGGTGAAACTCCAGCCCTATTTGCAGGACCACCTGGAGCAGCTGATATAACAACAAGCCCAGCTGCTGACCCATCTGATGCTGCAGGGTAACCTATAGACAGCCCAACACCCGTAACCGCACCTTGAGTTCCAGACTACCTTCAACCAAAACATTCACTACATCTTACTACAACACAATCCATTTGCTTGATTTAGAACAGCGGTTCTCAGGAACTTTTACCCGCAAACTCTGAAACTTTCCAGGCTCCAAGAACCGCGTAAAAGGATCATCTAGTGTTGCAATCATTTTCTTGATAGCCATGTCTAACACACAAACAAATAAACACCAAAATCAGAAGCAGGTTTATATAAGGTTAATTAAAGCTGTGTTGTTCCAAATTCAAAGGCATACATGTTTCTTCTCTATTGTTCATGGGCTCATTTCGTAAAGCAGTCTCTCTGTAACGAAACCAGCTTTGTCCATTGAAGGTTTTATCGATATAGGCACGATCAATTGTTCTCCAAGCTTCTAGGAAGAGAAGATTCTCTTCACTAAGACCCCCTACAAAGACAAATAGATTCAAACTGCAATCCCAAATTAAAGATGGTTGTAAAAAACAAACTTACATGAAGGTGAATCAGTGGTAACGACAGAAATGGAGGAGACAAGCAGAACAGAAACTAGTCGAACCAATGCAACAGAGACATTTTTTCTGAAACTGACTGATGATTTCATCATGAACTTTCCAGAAAACTTCCTATGATCATTTCTTTCGAGAAGACACAAACATCTGTTACACACGAACACGAGTCCTGTGTTTGCATTACTCCTCCTTTGGTTTCGAGCGTATCTAAAGTCGATACCTTTCAATATCTTTGAAGGTTGAGATACAAGCAATTTCACCTGCAAAGCTTGAAACTCTCTGTTACAGGCTTACAGCTAAACAGACACGACTTCCATGTGAATTCAAGGAGAGAAATTGAAAAAGATTTATACCTGGATTGAGAAATTAGGGTTTAAAGTATTGGGCTTAGTGAAAATTGGGGATAATGAAGAGCTCGCAAGGACCTCCATTGAAAAGAACTTCCCCCCCTGCAAATTCCAACTCTGTTTTCCTTATCCTAAAAAAATGGTCAATATAATTCGATTAATTTTCACTTTCAGCAATAAAACTAAAAATGGGTATTGAAAATATTATCCCTCGTATCATCTAAATATTTCTGCACAAAATTTAAAACTTTTTAAATACAAACAAACAAGACCTAATAAGAAAAAGCTTTTAGTCCAAATATAAGTTAGTAGAGCAAATTATACAATTTTTAAGGTTAAAAGAAAGTTATACAATTTTTGACACTATGTTTAATCCCTTACAACTATTATCTCAGATGTGAGAAGGGTCCAATTCCTCTATAAACTTATATGTATATCAAATATTTTCTTCATTACTCTCTAGTGTTTTTCACCTCAAAAATTAGAGTTTGTGATTCATCAATTCATATTTTTTTTTTCTGTCAAACTGTTAATTTCATTCAAGTGAAGAATACAAAATATAATACATAAGTTCACGAAAAAACAAGAAATCCTTAGAATACAATAAAAAGACAATTAGAATTCATTCCGAAATAATTTTTGAGAAACACCGAAAACATAAAAAAATATAGCTACATCAAGGATAAATCGAAAAACATGATGTTAGCACACTATATTTACACAACATTTTAACAGCTCGAAATGTTTTTTAATGAGATATATCGTTGTCGCCCACGGCACTATCAACTTCTACGAACACTGTGAGCTCATCTCTCCCTTCTAAAAACCAGATTTTACAATCCGACAAGAAAGAACCACTCATAGTTCATGTCCTCTCTTGGATACGACAGCGACACATTTCATGTATCCGAACTACACTTGGATAAAAATCCTACAACCAACACTCCAATTTCAAAAGATCTAGAGATAAACAAAGTCAATCCCACCCGAACCCACCGAAAGATAAAGAAACCGGAAGGAAGCATTCATTACCACATCAAAATGGGATAAATTGCGAGAAAATTATCTCCAAAGACACTTTTTTCATTCTAATGTTATCAATAGACACTTCTTATATGTCACACACTTTTTTGTATTGATTGCCTATTATGCTCTCATAGTGTGTGATTCCTCTAGTAGAATATGTTTCCTAACCAAGTTGTTGGTTTTCTCTCTCTCTTTTTTTAATTATTTTATCTTCTGACTTTTAAATACGTAAAACCAAAACACTTTCCCAATCATATCTTTCTAATATCTAACCATAATCCCGATTAGACTACGTTCTCGAATCTCGAATCTTCTAAATTTTGCAACTAAGAGTTACAAAAATTCTTCTTCGCATTGTGATCCCCTCAACATCTTGTTGATCGGTCGAACATCAGACCGTGTTCCCAGCTTCATTTGAACCTCCCTAACGTCTCTAAGCTGATACTGATCCAAAGATGAAGCAAAGTTTCTCGGTTGTAAGGAAAGAGTGCGAAAAACAGAAAACAAAAAAACCGTAGCCGCCAAGAGTCTCCTTTGTTACCACCCTCCTCCTCTACCATGGCTTCCGGTCATTTTCCGGAGCCTGGACCTCTAAAATCACCCGACCTGCCTTTGTTTCCTATCACAGCTTCTTTCTCCGGTGGTTTTTCTTTCCATATTGAAGCTTCCATCCAAGCGGATTAGCTCTTCTCGATGAAGCCTCCATCCTGGTCAGTTCTTTCATCTCCAACAGATTGTTCATCTCCTCACCGCATATTCTCCCATTGTTACTTTTAACGAGAACGTTTCTGAGTGTAGATTTGGATATAGAATTTTCTACAATTTTGGCTTACTCTGCCTTGAGGGTTATGTTATCCTCTATCTCCCCTTTGTTTTTGATTCGTCTGATTGTAAAGTTGGGCTCTTTTCCTTAAATCTTAATAGTTGCTTTAGATTTTGATGAGTTTTCTTTGTGTGACTTCTTTGTCTCTTTGAACTTTATCCTTCACTTTCCAAGAAATTGTTTGATTAATTTGTAACCTCATTTCCTTTTATTTGTCAAAGTCTTTGGTCATGGTTTCCCTTGTGTATAGATGATTTCTATCTCTCCATCGTCACTGTCTGCAACATCATTTTCTACGTCTTTCTAGATTATAAACATTTTGTTTTTTATATCTAATGTCCTTAGCTTGATTTTTTGTAATCTTTTTTCAGTTTTCATGTGTACCTATATTAACGACTCTCATATGTTTAGGTATATGTTAGTCACTACATCTTGCAGTTTACCTTATGTAGATTTGATATAACGACGAGGACATGTTTTTGTGGATTGTTTTAATTTACAAATTTTTTAATTTTATTCTAGATAATTATATTCACAATTATACAACATGTATGTACTCTCCTATCCATATTTTCTTATCCACACTTCCCAACTCATAATCCCCTCTCCTCCCCCAATCCATAGATCCCATGTCCACACATCTCTTGTCCACCCATTTCTCTACGCTTTTCCTATCACGTATTTGATATCCACACTTTTTTTAGAACAAAGTTATACTATTATTATTCATATTCATGACCTACACCGACCGACAAAATATAAAACTATTTCAATAGCACAAGAGAACCAAAAATGAAACTCAAAAACATTTGAAACACTTATACCCACTTTCGTTGAAGAAAAAAAGAAAAATATTATTATCTTTAGAAAAATCAAATCTTAATGAGCCACTATCAACAATTTTATGTTTTGAATTTTTATTTTCTCTATCATTGGATGTGGTTTATTAGTATCTCATAAAAGGAGTTACAAATTAAAATAAACCCAATAATTGATAAACGTATTTCCTGAAACAAATAAGTAACTATTTAGTTTTTTGCCTTTCATTCTTAAGGAAACATACATGACTGTTTCTGTAACAAAGGGGGAAAATGGTCATTTTCGTCCACAACATTAGCATCCGTACACATAAAGTGTGTCAAATTCTGAATGTGTCTTTTTAGGTAAACAAAAAAATATAGAAATTATCTTTATGTGTTACTCACTCATAAATTATAAATATAAAGATCCAACAACCAAAAGAGAGAAGTTACCAATTCATATATGAATGTGTTACCATATATGACATTTTCTTGTTTTTTTGACACTTGGAAACACTTCTTGTTAGAGAAACACTTTCCATCTTCTCTATGCAACAGTGTGACAAAAATACCTGTTGTTGGGTGAAATGGAACAAGAGCTTTGATTAGTAAACTTAGCTAATTGTAGAATTGCAAAAATAAATTAGTTGCTGAATAAAAGTTGTGGAATTTGAAACTTGTTGAATAAAAGTTGTGGAACAAAATTACATGTGAGTGGATATGTTTTTATGGAATTGCTTAACAAAAATCATTTTTAAATTTTTTTTTTATTACATACCATTATTGTTCATCTAATTTTGGATACATTTATAACAAATAAAAAAAACTATTAATGTTGTGAAGTCAAAATCAAACATACAATCTCATTTCTAATAATTTGCATATACTGACTCGGCATTAAATATGTAACCAAACAATTTAGTAAATGTTAAATATTGCATTTAGTGATTGATGGTGGTTGAAGCAACAATGACTATTAGTTTAAGTGATATTAGTGAGTTAATTAACTTTTCATACGTGATAGAGGAAGATAGTTGAATTATATTCTCATGCAAAAGTATAAATGTTGGTGGTTTTATGGATGTATTACGTAAAAAAAGGGTAGGAGAAGATTAATTTTGAACTATGTCTCCAGATTAAATGAAAAAAACACACTTACTCACTTAATGGAAGTTTAGTTAAAAAAAGGAAAAATGATTGTCAGCTACCTGAAGTATTGACCATTACATGACTGACCATGCAAAGTAAAGAAATACACACTTAACTACATGAGGTATATGATATGCATACTAACATCCATAAATTTTATGTTGTTATGTAGGCAACATCACAAGACCAATTATTCTAATTATATCACAAGGCTAATTACATTAATAAAAAATAGAAATATAAAAAAATGTTTTAAGATATGGAAAATCTTAGAAATATAAAAAATGTTTTAAGATATGGAAAATATTTTTTATTTGATTTTGTATTATTAAGAATATTTTTATTTTAAAAAGTTTTATATAATAATATTTATATTAATATTGTTTTATAAAAAAATAACTTTATTTAATTTTACATATTTTTAATAGTTTGTTAGTTTAGCATTTATTTTTATACATGATTTAAATAATTATTTATATTTATAATGTAAGATAGAAAAGTATTTGTTTTTTTAATGAAACTACATAATTAGGTATATTTGAAAACGTTTTTATATCTCTNTGAAAAATATTTTTTTAATGACTTAGCTATTTACATAATTATTTATATTTATATATGTTTATAAAAATTGGTAAAAAAAGTCTTTTTCCATTTAGTGAAAAATGTAGTTGTAAGAATATATCCTTAGTGAAGGAAAAATGAATTGTGCTACAACAAATAGTGTAAAATAGAATTTCACCTAACAAATCATATAGAAAAATAAAGGATAAACTATTAAAATTAAAATTAAAATTAAAATAAAGTTAAAAGTTTTTTCTGAAATAAAATTAATTTTTATTATTATTGTATAACACTTTTTAAAATAAAATATTCATAATAATAATAATATAAAATATAAAAACGTTTTCCATATCGTAATACGTTTTTATATGTTATATTTATTATAAATGTAATTTATCTTGTGATGTAACTAATTGTTATTATCCTTGTGATGGTAGCTACATGACAACATAAAGTTCATAGATGTTACTATGCATACCATATACTTCGTGTAGTTGAGTGTACATTTTTTTACTTTGCATGGTCAGCCATGTGATGGCAGATACTTTAGGTAGTCGGTAATCATTTTTTCCTTAAAAAAAATTAAGCAACAACTCAAAAGATGCGAAATGGTGTTTTATCTTAGATTGCACATATTTTTTTATTGATAAATAAGTTTTGGAATTGCATTTCAAAGGTGATTCCGCCATTCCGCAAAGCTACCAATTAAAGCCAAGGAGAAATAG